TCTTTATTTTGTTTAGCTTTATTTATTTATTTTATTTCTAATTGTCTTTCTTATATAGAAATATATATTTCCATCATTTTCCCCGCCCTCTGCTAACTCCCAACAGTCTCTGGCTCAGATATAATCCGTGATAATTAGAGGAGCGCTTTAAATTACTTTGAATGCTCCTCAGGGATTTTCACCCAATTTCCAAGTAAACAAGAACCACAAAGAATCATTTATCTTCTCGAGAGCAAACCTACGAATCTGTGAATGTTGTGTTAGTGCAGTTAGTTGTGATAAATCAGCAGATGAAAGAGATTCTTCAGCAAGATGAGAAAAAAGATAGTGTGATGGGATTTGAAACATTTAATTATCTTCTATTTAAATTGAAACATTTGCTAATACTTAAGCTGTTTATGTCTGGTGTTAGATCATCACTGACACTGGTTGACACTTCTGGCTCATTTCCAGCTGAAATGTAATTGGCTGGCTCTTTTTGAAGGGGTCAGAGGTCAGAGATGACTCATGTCCCCCAGGGTGAAGAACTATGTTGTTCTGGATGGAGGTGCACATGCGTACACACTGTTAGCTCATGACATTCCTAAAATAGCAAGCGTAGCTGCTGGGTGTTTAACCTACTCTGTCTCCTGTAAGCTTCAGTAATGTAATGAGTGCTGTGCTGCTGCAAAACCCAAAACAGTGTGGTCTGATACTGGGGATGTGAGCATGAATGATTGTCTGACTCCTTGTGTTCTCCCTGTGATGGAGTGGTGAACTGGATGTTAGAGAATAAAGACGTTAGAGAATAAAAACAAAATGAAGCATTTTCCCCACATCCACTTGGGGAAGAAACATTTTTTTCTGTAAAGAAAAAAGAACCCAGCCACCAACGGGCAAAGCAAACTAGCACAGTATAAACACAATATCCCCCACTGTTTATCTTTCTGTGCTCTTCACAAAACATTTTGGGTACCATGATCCTATGGTTTTAGGAGAAAGAGGAAGCACTAAACTATCACAATAATCTGTCCTCACAGAAAAATTTATCATATCTTTTCCTGGTTTCTACACGCAGATGGGTGTGTCTCCACTTCAGATAACTGATCAGATAAACCGGTGGAGTGCTCTGGTTTGCTGTAGGTATAAAAACTACCTGATCAGGTTTAGTTTTGCAAATATTCACACATTAGAAAACTTAATGCTCCATGGGTGCCGAGTTCCCCTCCATCTACAGCATACATTTTACAGGCAATGATTCCCATTCCCATTAGAAACCACCTAATTGTGAACTTAATAATCAAGTCTTGAGTACTTCCTGCTTGCAGAGTTATCTGGTTGTTTTCTGGCCGACTCATCCACATGGGGAATTTTTGGCTTGAGACATCATAAATTTTCCCATTATAATCAGAGGGTGGAGAACAAAGGAAGAGAGAATTATGTCAGGGTAAATATGTCACACTTTTCTGTTTTGGTGTGTAGCCATTTCCCTGCTGAAGAGTCTGAATAACATAAACATCTAAAAGCATCGCAGTGCTGCGATCGCCGGTGACTAATGTTCTAATCATTTAGCAGAATCAGTCCCTCGTGTCCATACCACATGCTGAGGTTTCTGTTTTCAGGTCATTTGAACCATTGTTTTTAAAAGTGAGTGAATTAGCACGGAGCTGGACATCAGCTAACGGTCTGCTCTGTCAAAGTGTCAAACTGTTTAGAGTTAGAGAGTCTGCAGAGCAGAGGAGGGATGGGCATGTTAGGAAAGAGAGATGGTGACACATATTAACGAGGGGGTCAGTGGGGGTAAAATACTCAGTTGGGAAATACTAGTAGAAAGTCGTGACGACATTTTGCCTTATTTACCCTGCATTTTCCTGCTAATTTATCTACAAGCATTACTCTTGATTGAATGTTTTGGATTTAACTGTAAACTACAACTTATACCTAAGAACGTGAAACACACTTTACACAAAATAAAAAAATTGGTTGTTGAGTATTTTTCACACATCCCATTTCACAAAGTTTTTTTTTTTGTCCCCATTAAAAACTGAAATTCAACTAGAAAGTTCGTAATTCTTTTAATTAGAGCCAAAGTACATAAAACCTTTTAAAACACTGAATTTATTACATATTGACATAAAAAATACCAGCTAATTATTAAAAAACAACCTTTCAGGAAGATAGTTCAAAAATATGTTGCTTATGAAATAAAGGTTTGAAGACAATGTTTGTTTCCACAGTGCAGTAAAACATGGGCAAAAAATTATTATGAAACCCAGTGATCTGTTGTATTTCAGATGTTTTCATATGGAAATGATTAATCAATAGGAGACAACTAAATCCAGCCTAAATACATTATATATTTCATTTGAGGCAACACCCTGGGCACAGTCTGCCAATCTAACAAGCATGTCTTTGGATTGCGGGAGGAAACCCACAGACTCCAGGAGAACATAAAAACACCACACAGATGTATCACCTAGCCGCTACACTCAAACCCAGAACTGTCCTTTTGAGAGGAGGCAACTAATTGCTGCATTACTGCCACGCCTGACACAGTAACATCCATCCATCCATTTTCTTCCACTGGAAGAGGCCGGAGCCTATCCTGCCTCCCACAGGGGGAGAGGTCGGGTACACTCTGGACAGGTCACCACAGTAACATGTTTGATCAAACAACATATCACATAACGGTACTTTAGATTCGAAATCGGCCACAGGCATGAATATGAGTGTCTCTCAACATGCATTAGCCCTGTGACAGACCAGTGATCTGGGATATGCTCCAATCTCCCAGTGACCCTGAACTGGATAAATGGAAGAGGATGGATGGATACAGAGTTTTAAGCTTTGCCTTACTCTTTTTCTCTCCTCTCCACTTGTTTCCTTATTCACTCCATTTTGTTTTCAGGTGCTCAGATGACTTGTTCTGCCCCACTTTAATGGAAATGGAAAAGAAGGCTCTATCTGGCAGTAAAGCAGCTCTCCCATGCTTTGTTTTGGAGATTATGTATCGGAATTTAAGGAGCGAGACCACACCTCCAAACACACTCCTTCCGGTTGTCATCTATATAGGTTTCCCAGTTTTGCAAACTGTTCATTCTCGTTTACGTGCCCCACCCTCCCTCCCTCCTTGTTCTCAGTTCTTTAAATTCTTCACTCCTATTTAGTACACGGGGATCTGCCAGGCCCGGGAGCTGTTGGCAGTCCCCAAACCGAAGCTTAATTCATGTCCGAGCATTCACCTAGTAGGTAATACTATAGTACTATAGCAGGTAATACTATAAACACTGTCAAACCTAAATTGAGGACGTGGGCCCAGCTAGTGAATTTAATGTTTCTTCTTTTGTCTTTCTGAAGATGGATGGATGTTATCTCTTTTTTTGTACCTTTGTTGGATAGTTTGGCATCCTATCTATATGATGCAGTTACAGTGTCTGCTTGAGTTTCTCTTTTGTTTCCATTTTCACTGTGACAAGTAAAAATACAGTTATATTTATTTGCTGCAGGAGTGCAGTAAGAACAGAAATCTGATTGTAGTCTTCTGTGTTTAAAAAACAAAACTACACTATGTGAAGACACCAAGAAGACAGATGAAGACACACAACTTCTATATCAGGAAATAATATAAAATATGAAGTTTTCTTCCATCACTCCTGTTCTTGCTGGCTTGCACTGGCTTCCAATTAAATACCGTATTCAATTTAAAATATTACTTTTCACCTACAAAACCATTAATAATTTGGTGCCGAGCTACCTCAGTGAGCTTCTCAGGTTACACACTCCTGTCAGAGCACTTAGATCTGCTACCCAAATTCTCCTGGAGCAACCTCGTTCTCGGCTGAAGTCTCGCGGTGACCGCGCGTTTGCTGTAGCTGCCTCGGCAACAGGAACAACCTCCCTGTTGCTATTCGGGCGTCTGACTCTATGCCACTGTTTAAATCATGGCTGAAGACTTATTTGTTTAATCTTGCCTTTCCACCTAGTTAACACTTGGTGTGCGTTGGTACATTTTTATCCGTTATGCTTGTGAACTACTTTTATATCTTATGATTGTCAAGGTTTTTATAATTGATACGTGCCAGGTCCTTTCTCTTTTCCCTCCCATCTCCCTTTTCCTATTTTATTTTTGTCAAGCACCTTGGTATACCCTTGGTTTTTTAGTGTGCTTTATAAATAAAGTTTATTATTATTATTATTATATTGACACTGGTAACTTTTAGGAATATTTCCCATTTTCCTTTTCCTTTTGACTGCTGACTTGTCCTCCACCTCATTCTGTGGACCTCCCTAAGTCCTCTCTTGGTGCCTGTCGCTCAACCCCAGCCCTCTCTCCCTGCTGTGTGTTGTGTTATGCGGTGATATCCAGGGTTCCTGTGTGTTTAGACCGAGATAGGGCAAAGATTAAAAGACTGAAGTAATTTAATCTCTTAAATCTATTGACATAAACTCTTTCGCACACAGCGTACATCTCTATTTTCCTGTGGAGATACAAACATCTGGACTAACATCCATGTACACGAGCACGCACGCACGCACACGCACGCATGCACGCACGCATGCACACACACACGCACGCACACATGCACACTTGCTTGGTTTCTCTACATCCTCAAAGATACAAACATCTGTACTTTCCAGCACACACATACACAACCCTGCCAAAGACAAAGGCATGCTTGCGTGCACATTTGACTTGATCTTCAAAAGATGAAAAACATCTGTCTGGCCCAACACACTTATACAGATGTGCACACACACAGTGACTGTTTACATCAGTGTGCACCGGCCAGTTGATGAACTGATTATGTTCATCAATAAACAGCTTGGTGTGGAACTATGTGAGCAATGGCGATGATAACTTTGGCATCCAGATGTGGATTACACTTAAATCCAAGCTGTTTATGTTTATCAGGCTAACTTCCAGTTGTTCATGGGAGCAGCAGGATCCAGATAGAAGAAGGACTGATCGTGAACTGACAAAAAGCTTTAACATGAGCCAGTTTGCCACTTTCTGTTCTTACTTTGTTGTCCTGTTTTGTCTGTTTTGGAGACGTCCAAGCTGTAAAGCTGTCAGGGATCAGTTCCAGCTGCTGTCACCGCATCTTCATACAACACTGAAACAATAAGAAAATGAAAAAAGGTTGGAGTCTGCCGTAAAGTGTAGAATGAAAATGAAACTGTCATGCTTTAAAAGCACTGCTGTTTTCATGCATGATCAACAATCCACAAATGCCTGTTTCTGATCACAGTAGCTGTGTATGAATACATTTTTAAGCTGACCTGAACCTCAGAAAAGGCAGAATCTGTTTGAAAAATAAAATGAACCGCTTCAGTTCTTTCACCACAAACACTGAAATCAACTCAATAGATGTCGTTTAAGTTTATATTTCTTTATCTCCAACATAGAACTCAGAAAATCTCAGAGCACTTCACTTGGTCTGGTCAGTTGTTGCAATGTTATACATAATCTCCTTGTACCGAACATATTCATTTGTTTTGTTTGCTGTCATACATGTAACTAAAGCTTTGTATGGTCTACAATTAAACTGTATGCAGTATATTATAATAAGATTGCCAAAGGTAGCATGCATAAGATAAAAAGTATTGGTCCTAGACCAGAACCCTGTGGAACTCAATGACTTGTTTGTGTGTGTGTAAAACTTACCATTCATGTGAATAAACTAGAATCTACTGTATAAATATAACTTAAACCAGGGCAGTGGGTTCCTTTGACCCAACGATATCTTTGGTGTCAAATTCAGCACAAGGCTAGAGCTTTTTCCTTAAGATGATATGCCAAGTGCTATAATAAACTGTAAATCTTCAATGAAAATTTAATCTGAACTTTGCTGTATGATTTGCAAATCGTTAAATTTCTTTTTAGAAATATAGGGGAGGTTGACTTCAGGCCAACAATGAGCTTTAATGGTCTTTAATGCTCTCTCAGATGTAGTTTTGTGTTTTTCTACATGTTTTTCATTGTTTGTTTATCCCTCTTTACCTGACGGACCCCCAGTATTTCTACAGTAAGTTTTTTTTAGGTGAGTAGAAAGCAAGAGGGAATCCATATTTAGTCTATATGGACTAAACTAAGAGTGAAATGTAACTATTTCCATTTTTCTGCATTCTTATTTCCTAGTTTGTGTCTCTCTGTCGTTCTTTTCACATTTTTTGATCTTTGATGAGAGGGACACAAAAAGAAAGAAATGGATATGAGAGGAAGAGGAGGACAAGATGTGGAAAAGCTCTGGGTTTGTAATCATACAAACTCCCCACAGTATTCCTCTTTGATTAAACTGGCTGTCTACACCACCTAAACTGAGCTCCAAGCATGCTGAACAACACACCGCACAAATGTAGAGTTTCAATTTTTATGCAAAATCACACGTTTTTCTATCACTTTTTCCAGTACAAACATAACGTGGATTATTTTTTTCTTCTCCAGTTCAAGTATAAATTTATGTTTGCATACTGGATGTTAATCCTCTGTGCGTGTTTGTGCCTCTATATAACAACTACTTCAGAACAAATGAAATTCTTATCAGCTGTTGTATTTTATCTTTAGAGATAAATTTGACTCTGTGTTGAGTCTACTGCCTCTGTAGGTTTTAGCTTTCCATATGCTGCAGACACTGGTTTGTTGATTTAAGACACTAATAGATTCAACAAAACGTGGAAGGAAAGATGCTCATAGCAGATGTATTACATGATACCGGAGGGTCCTGTGGCAGGAGACTGAGATTTACCTCAACTACCGGTGGAAGCTTGTTAGAATTTAAAGCTGTGATATATCACACTGTTTTAATGACAAGACCAGTCCTGCTTTTCAGTGCTGAGTAAAGACAAAATCTGTAATTCAAATCTGTACATGTAAAAAGCACATATGGACCCAGCACCTGCATTCAAACTTATGTTTGTGCCATCATGCAATTATTTAATGAAAGGAGCTCATTTCTGTTTCCTTATTTTGTAATCTTGGCCTCTATGAATTAAATTGTGAAACTTGAACAATCTTAGTGAGACTTGCTCTCTCTGACATCATACAGAACCAAGAGCAGAAAAAGACAGTGTAGGTATTTTAAAAAAATATTTTTATTTAAGGGTTTGTAGCCTGCAGAATAAAGCACCTTGAGTCCACACAGTCTGATGATTTTAGCAGAAGATGGGGAAGGAAGCACTTTGCATGAGATTACGACACCAAAGGGTCTCACAGATGTTACTGTGGTTTAAGATTCAATAACTTTAAACTACTGACTTAAAGTTAGCAATAGGCTTCTAGAGATCAGCCTTAAAAGTTAAACAAGTTTGGATTCTGCTACATTAACAAAGATTTATTTCACTTAACATGTTAATTAAAATGACAAATGGCTGCATTAAGGCTGTACTTTCCAGTTTATTTGACCAGTTAAAGTGCAAATACAAATCATTATCAGCCTTATTCATGCAGTACTTTGTACATAAGGATCTGACTATCTCACATGCTTATAGGCTTTTTTGTGTGTGCCCAAAAACACACACGCCTGTGGACTGAGCAATCAGAGATAAAATCATCATTCTGATTGTTGGATGACTAACAGATAAGCTTAAATTTTAATGAACCTGCATCACAATGAACCACGACACTATTCACCTGAATAAACTTTTTTGAAACACAACAACAACAACAACCGTGGTTCGTGAGAGAAAATATGAAGTGCTGATAAGTACTGAAAAGTTTGCGCGCGCACACACACACACACACGCACACACACACACACACACACACACACACACACACACACACACACACACACACACACA